TATGCAATGGTAGCTGAACTAACTGGTGGGTCTGGAACTTCATCAGGATTAGATGTTTCTGAAATAGATGAATATTTTTCTGCTTCTTTAGTTAGATGTCAAGGAAATGCTTTAGATATTTTGCAATGGTGGAAAGTATATGGATCAGTTTCATATCCTATACTTTCCACCATGGTTCGTGACTTACTATCAGTGCAGGTTTCGACTGTAGCCTCGGAATCCGCTTTCAGCACAGCAGGACGTTTGATCGACGACCACAGGACATGCTTAGATCCGTATACTGTACAAGCGGTGATGTGCTTACAGGATTGGTGGAGATACGAGAAGCGAACACAAGGCATCGAACGGATTGCTATGATTGAAGATAAATTTGAAGATTAGGACTAGCAGATAGATATAATGATTAGATAATATTCATAAAATTGTAATTTTGTTTTCTTAGCTTTAAATTTGAATTAAATTATTTCGAAAAAAGTTGCAAATGATAGTGATATGGGTGAGTAGGTGCCAACCTAGTTGGGATGTACTCATCTATTGTGATGCGACGAATTTCGAAATAAATTTATACTTGTAAAGGATTTGTAAAGGATTTACCGATTATTAATAAAGAAGTTATTTTTATCATTTTTTGTACTTGTAATTTATGTCATTTCATTTCAAGCTATTAATTAAATTTATGACATTTTTTATAATAATTTATGATTTATGGTTTTGTTAAAATTAAAAAAAAATTCTAAAAAAAATCAAACCGGGCCGGCCCGGTGTCCGGCCCGCTCAGGCCCGGGCCCGGGTCCGGGCTTGGGAAAATCAAACCGGGCCGGCCCGGTGTCCGGCCCGCTCAGGCCCGGGCCCGGGTCCGGGCTTGGGTTTTGCTCGGCCCGGGCCGGTCCGGATGGACAGCCCTACCCTCACTCACGCAAGCATGAGGATATTTAAGTGAAAGTTTTAAAAACTTTATAATACTTAGGTGACATTTTTAAAAACTTTGGAGTGTTCAAGTACACATTTTTAAATTTTTATGGTATATCAATGCTGCCAAAACGAACGGGGGTATATAAGTGAAACTTTAAAAACTTTGGGGCATACAAATGTTGTCGGAACGAGTGAAGATGTACAAGTGCGAATACGGGAAATTGTATGGTATTTAAGTGCAATTAAACCGCCTCTTTTTATCCTGGGATTCTCGTGAATAATAACAAGGAGGAGGGCAATTTGTTGGAGAATTCAAACGATTCGGGCTGTCTTTATCTCCAGACAGCGTGACCGATCCGAACCGTTTCTCTCTGCAGGCCGCCAACGGCTGAGAAAACTACAAGAAAACGACAAAATAGCGGGCCCCACAGAATCCACTCAGATAGTACCATGTGACATTTGGACCGGTCTCCGCGATTGCCGGCTTCAGGGGCAGCGACCCGGCCGACTTGAACCAGACGCGGCTTACACATGGTCCAAATTGTGACGGTAACGTTACCACCTTTAAATCCGTTTCCGATATGAGACTAGACATGATTGTTAATTAATATGACACGCGTCAGAGATTAAGGTCATTCTTTAGGGGGTTTATTGGTTGGTGTAATTTTTTGGGCAAGTGGAATAACTTTTAGAACTTTACTTTATGGTGATATTCATTGGAACAATAAAATTAAAATTTTATTTTAATTTGTTATTCGTTGGACAATAAAATTGATACAATTAGCCTTATTTTTTCCAAAATTATCTCACTTCCATATAAATTTTTTGTCCCGACCTCAAAAAATTACATTATTTTTAATTTTGGGACAATCATAAGGAAAGTGGGATAATTTTGAAGTATTCATTTATTAAATATCTAATATATATTAATTGTATTATAATATATAATATATTTTAATTATATTATATTATAAAATTCTATTATAACGTAAAAGATAATAAAATATCATATAATATCATTTAATATAATATTATTATATATCATTATTACATATTGGTTATTAATATTTTATATATTAGTACTATATTTTTATAATATTACTTTATATTATTTAATATATATTTTATTAGTTAGAATAAAAATATTATTATAGTATTTTTTATGATATAAAATATTATATTATAACATAGTGTTTATATATTTAATATAATAATATATTAATTATATTATAATATAATTTAGTAATTATCATAAAGTAAAATATTATATTAAATTAAACATATTAAATATTATATTATTAAAATATTATATTAAATATATTATTTGTATATTATATAATATATCATATTATTATAACATATTATATTATATTATATTAATTAATAATAATAAATATATTTATAACTAATTAGTAATTATAATATAATATATTATACTTTAGTATAAAGCAAAATAATGTGTTATATTATATAACATACCAAAAAATATAATAAACCAATTAGGTACATTAATTTAGATTTAATTGATAGATAAATATTGTACTTTACTAAGGTGTCACATCATCAATTATCCCATATGAATTGTCAAATCAAAGCTCCAAATTGTCCCACTTTACACCACTCAAAATATCCCAAAGTGATAAAATTGTTCCATTGGAACAATTATCCCACATAGCCCCAACTTGTCCCAACCAATAACCCTAATTATACTATGTATGAAAATACTAGAAGCTCAAGTGGGTGTGTGTAACAATGCGATTTAATAAAATAAACTAAACTAAAATAAATCTAGCTTTTAAGGAAATAAAAAACAAACAAATAAATAGCTAGATAAGAGTTTAGAAAAACTTCTCTATAGATCAAGAAAGAGAGGGAGAAGAGTTGGATGCTCAAACATAATTGATGATCTTCCTTAAACTCTTGTGAAAATTGCTTCACAAACAAAACTCTTAAACACTCTTTTAAACAAACACAAAATACCCTTAAACTTGTTTTAAACAATTCTCTTGGTTAAAAAAAACTGAGGACATGTGGGGGTATTTATAGGAACCCCGAAGCCAAGAGAAAATAAGGCAAAAAGATCAAAAACCCAAATGTGTAAAAGGTTAAAAAAACTAGCTATTACAGCATCAGTTGACTCACGGCTTTCATCAGTCAACTGATGAGCTAACCGTTAGAGACGTTTTCCAGCTCATCAGTCGACTGACGGACCTTATAAGTCGACTGATGACCTCATCAGTCGACTGGTCAGTCGACCAAAATAAAACAGAAACGTTTTGTTATTCTAGACGTTTTTTTCAGTCGACCGAACACATTCATCAGTCGACTGATAACACTGTATCAGTCTGATTTGAATAGTAAAACTAATTTTTAAACCTCTTTTAAAAATAGCAAATAAAATCAAAAAATGTAAAACTTTGAGAAATAATTATAGACATGATAATACACATGTTACAAAAGCTGGTTTTCAAAAAACACCTCCCAAATGAGAAATATCTTTATTTTACAAAATGTCCAAAAACATGAATCTAAACATACATGTTTTTGACACATTGATTTAAACAATGTTTAAACTGATATTGAAGTCTATAAACTAATAAAACAATGTTTTCACAAAAACACCTATATTTTGATAAAATCAACAAATACGTATGTGTGATTAATATGAGCTTAAAGTATTAACACACAAGTATAAACCTATACTACAAACACTATAAACTATATACCCAAACAATCTTGATCTTTTTGGTAAATTTGCGGATGAAACTTGAACTTGGATCTTTAACTTGAATAACATTGTTTCATTCCACTATTCTGCCAACCTCTATTGGATTTGATCGTGAATGTTAATTTCATTCATCCTCCAACATATTGTTTGCCTAGAATAGATATAAAACACAAACACTACACAAATAACATTAGATGTAAATTGTTTGTAAATCATTATCAAAACAAAAGAACCCAACAAAAGTTGGGGGTTAGGATAGAGGAAGAGGAGGAGAGGAGGGAGGAGCAGCAGCGTAGTGGTGGCTCCGGCACTGGAGATAGAGATGAGGATTTGGGAGAGGGAGAATGGGGAAATGATGAGGCTTTTTAATGACTGGAGAATAAAAGAGGGGTAAAATGGAGGAACCCGGGTAAAAAACACTTTTTTGGGAATAATTAAGGGGGCTAGGCTACATTAAAATTTGATTTTTGGGGCATTAACGCAATTTTTAAAAAAGGAAAAAGAAAGATGACTACAGGCTTGACATTTGTTTCTAACTAATAGTTAGGAAAAATATAACAAATTATAATACGATCATTTTTTCATTATCTACCCAGTATTTAGAATGTTTTAGCCACCATGATGTGAATGTACAAATATACATAACAAGCAGATCGAATGACTTTTGTATTTTTAAAAAACCTGGACTATGTATAAGTCACATTTATAATGTATGTATAAATCATATTTACAATGGACTATTCATAAGTGCCCCAGGGAAAAGCAACAGCCAAAACCGATAGGCTTGGGCTTGCGGGTGCAGGAAAACCAAAATCGTCTTCCTAAAGCTCTTTCGAGAAAGTTTTTTCAGCCTCCTTTATTTTTTCATCATGTTCGTAGGTTTAGTTTCTTAAAATTATTTTCATATCATTTGGAAACTGTGTTAACTTAATCATTTTTGACTTAAACATGGGATCAGGACCTTTTAAAGCAATTCTTGAAACAAACTAATTTATTAAAAATACTGTGGAAGGGATATCATGAAATTTGCTCCAAGGTAAAACAACATCATGGACTCTCCCCCCATTTTTTTCCTCCCTTCTTTATTAAATTATTTTAAATCAAAACCTTCCATCTTTTTATTGAAATATTCAGGCGAAGAAACTTACAACGATGCAAGTCAAAAACCAGAGCGAGTCGCGTTCTTAATTGCGCTGTGGACCCATGTCGACCTTTACCTCAATCCGAGCACGAGTCCTTCTTAGGATTATAATAGATAAATAAACAAACAACCAGGTGATTATGTTAATAAACTAGAAACTATTATTATTATTATTATTATTTTTTTATAGTATAAAGCATCCATCGTGACCTCGGAAACCCCACTGTTTCTCTCTCCACCTCTCTCTAAAATGTGGGAGGTGTTCTTCTCCTTGCTGCTGCTTTTGCAGTGCCAGGGCGGTAAGGTTACCGCCCAGCGGCCCCGGCCCTCGCCCTGGCAAACCTTGAAGGGTACCGCCCTCCTTTTCTTTTCATATATATATATATATTTTTAAAGAAAGTTAAATGGTTGTTTCTTTATTGGGTCTCAGAAGCAATTTGGGTCTTGGGGTCTTTGTGGCTGTGGTTCTTTATTTCTTTATTTGTCAATTGTTTTTTTTTTGTTATTTTACATGGGTCCTGAATGGAACAGCTTGCTATTTTGTGGGTTTAGAGGCAAGATCTTTAGTGGGTTCTTTTATGTTAGAATGTTTCGATGGCTTGGGTTTTTTTTTGGTGGGTGGAATCGAGAAATCCTTTGTGGTTTATTTACATTTTTGTTGGTGGTGTTTATTTGAATAGGTTCTTGCGGAGCATGTTACGAAGGATATTTCTATTGTGGGGTTGTTTTGTTCCTGAAATTATGGCTGTGTGCGTGTCGTATTGTTGTGACTAGTTGAGCCGCCGTTGTTTCAGTGTTTGAACCCTTCTTTGTTATTGACGGTCTCTATGAGTTGTATCTGTGGGTTATTTAATCATACTTTTCTTTTTCTTAGGTAACGAATAACTTCACCGCTAATAAATACACTGACTTACTATTCTTTTAATTTTTTAGAGCTTAGTTTGGGGGAATCTAGGGAGATATCATGGATAAAATGCTCTAGGCAGCTGCATATGGTTGCTTTATATCATGGAAAGATTTCATATGCTATGATGACATAAGATTATAAGATGAGCCCATCATGGAAAATGATCGAAAGGTATGTCATCAAACTGGGATGACAAATTGAGGAAAGGGTATATCAGAAATTTTTGAGGAATGACTGCTAATAAAGGAACTTGCCACTGCACCTAAAATATGAAGTCGTTGGTGAGGGTTGAGGGATGTAATTTATATTCTAATATGTCCTGCGGGTTGAGCGCCCATTTCATGGGCCGAAATCTTGACTATTAGCAGTATTTTTTAACCTGTTCCGAATTCATGGCAGATAGGATTTAAACCTGGGTTGCTCAGATACTGTATCAAAGGCCCCACCACTTCACCAAACTTCATAGTTGTGATGAGGGTTCAGGGTTGTAATTCTATTGAGGGATGCAAGTTTATACTCTGGCAATTACATTAGGAATTTCCGTTAGTTGAGAACGAATAGTGAAGAAAGTGAAACTTGTTTATAATACACTCAAGAGACACAATTTATTATTTTGTTTACAGTTCCTATTTAGAAGAATTCTGCCGAGAAACTTGTGTATCATGTCTCTTCATAATCCAAACAGTGGCCAACTACAAGTTCCTTCATTGAGCGCTGATCAGACTTTTGTGCACATAAATCAGTATTATGGGCTAAATTTCTATTGTTTCATTTACATCGCCTCTCATAATATCTTCACTTTTTTGCATACGTACATTTGAAAGCAACTAAAATCATGTGTATTTTTCCCTACCTTTCTTTTCAATGATGATTTTTAGTGATAGACTAATATATTGTTTTTAATTCTGCAGGTGATGCTCCTGTCGTAGTGGCTAAGGGTGGCTTCTCGGGATTATTTCCTGATTCCAGTTTAACTGCTTATACTTTCGCACTTGTAGCTAGTTCTCCTGATACAATTTTATGGTGTGATGTGCAATTGACAAAGGATGGTATAGGAGTTTGTCTACCTAATGTGAAACTAGACAATTGTACAGACATCTCTGGCATTTATCCCCAGAGAAACAAGGTTTATCTTGTCAACGGCGTGTCGACACCTGGATGGTTCTCTGTGGACTTTAACTCAACTGAACTAGCACCAGTTTCTTGTAAGTTGCATTCTGAACAAGCAAAATATTTTCCCTTACTATACAAGCACAGGCAAATCCTTCTTGCGTTAGAGTAGTTAATGTACTGAGGCATCTTTAATGCCACACATGAACTTGGAAATATGTGACTTTGCTGAACAAGAAAATGTAATTTGTTTCTTATTTTCTTTTGCCTATCGTGAAATAACTCCATCAGGACCATCAGGCCTCAAATCAACACAAATTTTAATCAATTATATTATTAAGGCATGTCATAGCCATCCACAAGTCCTCTTTAAACCTGCAAAACCTAACTCCAAGATGCTCAATAAATATATATTTCGAGATATATGATCCATAAAAAACTTTCAATGCCAAATTCATAGTTCAAACTTACTTGGTCATAACATATAAACACAAGCAAATCTATATTATCCATCTACTCCAACAACTCCTTAGCATATAAGAGAAGTCTTACTCAAACATACATGTGTCTGTGAGTAAAATATGGTTATGATGTGGCATCTTATTTTGCTAATGGCCTACCAAGAGATAGATAGCATTGAGGCCCATTGTGCTAGTCACGTTGGAAAGTTTGAATCTCACCATTCTAATCTCTTGGTAGTCCCGATAGTTCATCTTATGACAACTCATATGTATTATTCCCTACATAGGTTTGAGTAAGACTTATATTATTGGAATCGGGTTGTTATTTGTAGACTGTTGCAGTTAGTATACTTGTAACAAAGTGGCGCACAACCAGCCACTATAGTGTAGATCATCGATTCATCATCACACTAATTTAATTGACAACTAGACATGTTTCACATCAGGGATACCCCAGCCAACAGGTTGGGGATAGATCTGACGTAGCACGATGTATCAGGATCTAGAAAAGACAAAACAAGACTAAAGTGCAAACTAACACTAAAAATGCAGCGGAAAATAACTTTAAATATTGAAACATTATAAACTAACAATTGATAGTAATAAATGCAAAACTACAGCAAATGAAGAGCATGTTCGCAATAAACCGGAGGCGTGGCAAGTTCGAGCAAAATCCCCAGAACCCTTTTGAGCAAACAGCATCTGGATAGAAGTCCTATGACTGAATTCTGCAAAAGAGTCAAATACGTGATTAGTTCCATACTAGAGCAAAGATCTAACAACTGTGACTAACCATTAAACAATAAATGAAAGCAAAACAATTAATTTCAGGCTGAAATCTGAAGCTCCATTGTATCTGGAAGTTGATCCTGAGGCGGCTAGGTCGAAGGGTGGTGGCAGGGTGGTTCAGTCGTGTCCAGGGGATGATGACAGTGTTGAAGACTTGTGGCAGAGGGCTGGTGGCGGTCGATGGTGTGCGAACAAATGCGGAGAGGAGAACTGGATCTGCAGTCCTGTTTCCTGTGAAAACAGAGGAGTCTGAGGGGAATTCTAGGGATCCTGAGATCTAATTAAGAAGAGGGAATGTCCTGGTGGTGATGGGGTTTGAACGTGGGGAGGCTGAGGCGTTATGAAAAGCCTGAAATTTTGAGAGAACAGAAAGAAATCAAGAAAAGGTGGAATCACTCCAAATATCAATCTAAGCTCAAGTTTATTTTCAATCTTCTCTGCTATTTACAAAAGGAGTTCTGTTTCTTATAGAGATAGGATAAACAAACTCAATCTTATCTAAAAGATTGAATCTCATCTGAATATAATTTGATTTAAACTACATTATCATCTAAAAGAGAGAAAATCGGGGAAAAAAAACATAATCCTATCCTAACAAGGAATCTGAAAACAAATAAATTCTGAAAACAACATAATCCTCCCCTAACAAGAAATCTGAAAATATCTCTAATAATTTATCTACGATGCCAACTTCCCCTAGAGTAGAATCGTATATTATGATTCCCATCAACTCTCCCTGGCTTGGAAAGATTCACCTCTGTTGAATATGTAATGAAGTAGGCAGACTAATATGCAGTAAAATCAAAATTTTTATCCACCTGCATCCTAAGATTCATACGTAGAAGAAGATCCAAGATAGAAAATTACCTGAAGCGTGCAGATTAACAACGAAAAACTGCGTACTCGTTGAAATGTTGCGCGGTAATTGTAGCGACGCCTCTACTAGTATCCACACGAATTTGTTGGAACTCCGCACGTCAGTGTGCTAGCACTTTGAAGACAGCGGCCATTGGAGTCTCTCTCTTTTTTCCTCACGATTTCAGAAGCTCGATTGGATTATCAACAGGTCCATCCCATGCCCCTTTTTATAGGGCTGTGAGATAGTTTCTCAAACCGTAAAGAGATCGGGATTCCAATCATACGGTTTCTCAAAATATAATTTGTTCAAATCAAATCATATCTTTAAACCGTGATTGATCATATCAATTTGATTGCTAGGAGATAGGTTCATTGAACTTGGTCAGTATTTCTTTCAAATGTGATTGATCAAATCATTTCTGATCAATTAATCGAGATTGATCAAATCAATCCTTATTCAATTACCCGATAGCCTCACAACTAATCATATCTTTATATGACTTAATTTATACGGGCTTTCTTAATAACGTTCCAACATGTTACTTGTGTGCGACCCAATAGGTTTACACGATGTTGGCAGTGAGTCAAAATACTTTTTCGGCCCACAAGTCATAAACGGACCCTAGCAGGATATTATGACTACCCAAATCATGTAAATGTCATTTTAGACGAAACCTAGTTCACAATGGACATATGTCAGTCTCTTCATCACTAGATATCTTGATTGAACTCAAGGCAGGAAGCGTGTCAACCTTATACAGTTCAACCTTTAATTTCTCGCACCTAAAGTTAGACCGACTTTTCAATAGTTGACTCTCAACTAATTAGGCATGGCCATGCACTTTCTCAGTCTATCTTCTTCGAGGGGCCCAGAGTATGATAGGGACAAATTCTATCTTGACCATTCACATCCCTCTGCATGATTTATAGCATACCCGATTGATACCTTTATTATTATCCATTTAGGGAAACGTTTGGTAACATCAAAGTATACAATCCTCATGTAGGAAACCGTGATAATCTCAGGTCAAAAGACCGAACATAATCATTGTATGAAACCTACTAATGACACATAATCCATGCAGTGTTTCATAGCGGGTCAGTCCAGTATCATGTTCACCAACATATACCCATGTGATTGACTTGATATATCATATCCATGATTCGTGAAACATGATCATCAATCAATCCACATACAGCCTATAAAATCATTAGTGTCCTAACCAATGACAAAAGACAAGGACTATTTAGAATAACATCACAATCTAATTACAGAGCTTCACGTTCAAGTCACATACTTAATGATCCATAATAAGTGATTTATTCAAGGGACCGAATAACAGATTATTCATAGAAGTTGAATAAACATAAATTAAACACAATCATCTCTGTGATTGGTCTCTAGGGCATATCATACTAACAGAATATTGGTGCTGATACTGCATAGCAAGTCCGGATCAAGTTTTTGAACGTCTTCGGCCTAGAGCCAAGAGGAGTCCTCTAAAGGTGGACCTCCACACCAACGAATTAAATATCTCTGAATTCCTCCGCCGGTGGCACCAGGGATTTGTTCAATCACATCTGGCTATTGTACTCTATCTGGAGGCATAGTAGGCGATGATGGCAAGCTGACCAAGGGCTATATCCATTGGCTTATTATACAGAACTAGATCTATATTGAAAATTGGGTTTATACCCATCTCCTTAGGCAGATCCAGCTCATAACCATTCGATCCAATACGCCGAATAACATGATATGCACCTATTCACAGTGCGTGGAACCTCTCAGGTCACCCAAACAAGAACCCAATCACCTGCTTTGAGTTCCTACACACGTATATGGCTATCCATTATTAGTTTATAAGATTCATTACTTAAAGCAATTTTCTGCCTTATTTCTAGATGTAAGTCATGCATGTGCGTTGCAAAATAGTCCGCTAAAGCACTAAATCTAGAACCCAACGGAATCAACGCTAAGTCTACTGGTTTCCTAGGCCGATACCCTATTACGACTTCAAAAAAACTCAATCCTATAAATCTATTAACATAACTATTATAAGCAACCTCGGCCATACACAAAACTAAATTCCATGCTTTGGTATTGTCTCCTATGAGACATCTTAATAAATTTCCTACGCTCCTATTAACTACCTCTATTTGGCCATCAGTTTGGGGATGCTATACCTTCGAAAATTGTAGTCATATGTTTAATTTTCTCTAATGTGTACGCCAGAAGTGACTCACAAACCTAATATCCCTATCGAATACGATTGTCTTAGATAAACCATGTAACCTAACAATCTCTTTTATGAAAACGAATGCGATATGAGATGCGTTAGAGGTTTTGGTACAAGCGATAAGATGAGCCATCTAAGAAAACCTATCCACCACTACAAATATATAATCGTTTTTCCTAGTTGTGCAGTATAGTCCTAAGACAAAATCCATGCTCAAATCTTGCCAAGGTGTAAATGGTAGAGGTAATGGTGTGTATAACCATGTATTTTGTTTCCTTCATTTTGCTACCAAACAAACCCTACAATGGGACACAACTTGTGCACCATCTCTTTCAATACTTGGCCAATAAAATCTATCCTCAACCATAACTATTGTTTTATCATGACAATATTGTCATGCAGCTCCTCCTGTGTGTGAATCCCGAATAAGTTAATCCGTAAGTGAAGTGTTAGGTATATGCAGTGTTTTCAAAGGCGCATTCAAAGGCGTACATCTCATTGCGCCTCATGCGCCTTGTAATGCGGGACGATGGCGGAGCGTCCCGCATCTGATGCAGTAGCGCCTTTTGCGTCTCGCATGCATCATGACTTTACACAGGGTGCATGTAGTACATACCCTCATATAGTTTTATTTGTTAACATTTCAATCGAGTCTTTATACTCGATAATTCATATTCCAAAAAAGCAAAATAAATCCATTAAGCCTTTTTAGTGGTCTTCAATTAAGGACCATAACTAATCCTTTGCTTG